GTTGCAGCCCAACACCCCTCCATTTTGGCCCAAAACCCACCAAAACCCTCTCCATCATCTAGAGCGTTCGATCACGATCGCGTGGCCGAAAACCGCACCTCATTTGGACTCTCCTAGCTCCCTCTATCTATAAATAGGTGTTCTCCCCCAAAATTTCTAGATCAAACCACCCCCCAAACCCTAGTCCCGCTCCATCCGCGCGCCGGACAAATCCTGTCGCCGCGCCCGTGCCAATCGGCGCGCGACACGTGGCACGCCCCCGCCGCCGCCGCTCTGGCCCGGGAGGCCCAAGTCGGGCCCCCGCGAGCCCGTCGCCCGCGCCGCCCGGTGGCTCGTCCTCTGTCGCCTTCGACTCAGGCGCCGGCCCGCGCCGGCCACCACCTCGTCGCGCCGCCGCGCCGGCCGGTGCGCCCTCGCCGGACCTCGCCTCCACGCCGCCCCATCGCCGGCGTCCCTCACCGCCGCCTCCACAGCGCCGCCCAAGTCCCACTCCGGCCAGCCCCCGCTTCCCCGTCGAGCTCCGGCGGTCAACCTCCTCCCCGGTGAACAGTTTCCGGCGAGCCTCGAAGTCCGCGCCCGGCTGGATCTAGATCTGGGAAAATATCTCGGTTGACTTTTGCCCGAAACCCTAATTATTTTGCCCATGTTCATCATGTCGTAACTTTGCATCCGTAGCTCCGTTTTGGGCATTTAGCATATCAAAATGTTCGTCTCAGAGAGCACATCATTTCATCTCATTGCATCATTTTCATTTGAGTTCATCTTGATGCCCGAAATGCTGCTGGAAGAATGCTATTTGAGATAATTGTCAGATCTGCTGCTCCAATTAGATATTTGTCATTTTTGCCATGATTTTTGTGTGCATGATATGCCCCTGAGATCTACATGAGTTTTGTTATATGTTTTGCCATCTATCCAGAGGTGCAACCCATGTATTTTTTTGATGTGTGTGGTGACTAGCACAAGCTTGCAAAGTGGTGCAATCGTTAATGCTGATTTCAGGGACTTAGCAATTCCACTAAGTCCTTGATCTGTTTATCTCAATATGCCATATGTTCATGTTGTTTCCTAGTGATCCGTGCCTCTTTTGAGGATGATCAGTAAGGGTGTTTTGTTAATCTTGTAGTGCTCTATCCATCCATGTCTTTGTTTGCAATTATGGAGCACTCTAGTTTGAGTCAATCAAGCTCTACTTTTGTCATTTCGTGAATCTGGGCAGATTGTCTACTTGTTAGCGATTTTGCCGAGAATGTTGTAGTTGATCCGTGCATGCTATGTTATTGTTCTTGTCATGTCTAGCTTGTATAATATGTATTATTGGTGGGTGCATGCTTAGATTGTCATGAATTGCTCTGTAGTGAGTGCATCGAGTTTGTAAACATGCCTACTTGATATCTGATTTGCATGCTCCAGTTTTTCACTAAGTCTGTGAACTGATTATGTTTTTGCCATATTCACATGCTTGCAAATGTATTTTCTGATCCCTTTTGGCTGAAGGTCACTAAGGGACTTTTGTTAAGCTCTTTGAGTAGCTCCATGACATGCTTTACTTTGCCATGTTCAGGTCCTGTAGCATATAGTTTTCATGCTCCAAAGTGTGCTACCTGATCTGAAATTCCAGACAAGTGTTAATTGCACTAAGTCTGAAATCTGTTTACCAAATGCATTTTTTCCATGCTTGTTTGAACCTGTTAATGGATGAATTGGCCGTAGCTCAGTGTTCCTCTTATGTTAAGAATCATGAATGGATCCCTGCCATGTATTTTGATGCCATGTTTGGGTGTTGTAGCATGTTCATCTTGTTGCATTTAGATGGCTACGTGTTGTATAACGCAGACCGGTGCCATATTTGAATTGCTTGCCATTTCCAAACCGTAACTCCGATTCCGGCGTTCTTTATACCGTTTTTAAGCGATTTCATCTCACCTTTCCAGTGGCACACTTGGATTTCCAAGTTGAGGCCAGGTTCATGCATTCCTTGTCAAATCTTGCACATGCATCACATGTTGCATCCCGCATAGCATACCATGTTTGCATCATATTGTTTGAGCTTTGCACGTGGTTGATTGTGTCCTTGTTACTTATTTGTCTTGTTTGGGTAGAGCTGGGAGACGAGTTCGCTAACGAGGAGCCCGTTGAGTTTGCTTTCGAGGATCCAGTCAACTCTGACAACCTTGCAGGCAAGATGATCATACCCTCGAAATCACTACTATCTTTACTTTGCTAGATGCTCGCTCTTTTGCTATGCCTATGCTACGATGTCTACCACTTACTTGTCATGCCTCCCAAATTGCCATGTCAAACCTCTAACCCACCATGTCCTAGCAAACCGTTGATTGGCTATGTTACCGCTTTGCTCAGCCCCTCTTATAGCGTTGCTAGTTGCAGGTGAAGATTGGAGACCGTTCCTTGTTGGAACATTATTTACATGTTGGGATATCATTATATTATCTCGTTATCTTAATGCATCTATATACTTGGTAAAGGGTGGAAGGCTCGGCCTCTCGCCTAGTGTTTTGTTCCACTCTTGCCGCCCTAGTTTCCGTCATATCGGTGTTATGTTACCGCATTTTGCGTTCCTTACGCGGTTGGGTGATAATGGGAACCCCTTGATAGTTCGCCTTGATTAAAGCTTTTCCAGCAATGCCCAACCTTGGTTTTACCATTTGCCACCTAGCCTCTTTTTCCCTTGGGTTTCCGGAGCCCGAGGGTCAACTTATTTAAACCCCCCCTGGACCAGTGCTCCTCTGAGTGTTGGTACAAACCAGGCAGCCTGCGGGGCCACCTCGGGGAAACTCGAGGGCTGGTTTTACTTGTAGCTTGACCTATCTGAGTGTGTCCTGAAAACGAGATATGTGCAGCTCCTATCGGGATTTGTCGGCACATTCGGGCGGTGTTGCTGGATTTGTTTTAACTTGTCGAAGTGTCTTGTAGAACCGGGATACCGAGTCTGATCGGAATGTCTCGGGAGAAGGTCTATTCCTTCGTTGACCGTGAGACCTTGTCATGGGCTAAGTTGGGACTCCCCTGCAGGGATTTGAACTTTTGAAAGCCGTGCTCGTGGTTATGGGCAGATGGGAATTTGTTAATGTCCGGTTGTAGATAACTTGAACCTTAACTTAATTAAAATGAATCAGCTGTGTGAGTTACCGTGATGGTCTCTTCTCGGCGGAGTCCGGGAAGTGAACATGGTGTTGGAGTAATGCTTGCCGCAGGTTGTTCTCTAGTTATTCGTTCGCGCTTTGCCTTCTCTTCTCGCTCTCTTTTGCGAACAGGTTAGCCACCATATATGCTAGTCGCTTGCTGCAGCTCCACATTTTTACCTTGCCTTACCTATAAGCTTAAATAGTCTTGATCGCGAGGGTGCAAGATTCCTGAGTCCCTGTGGCTCACAGATTACTTCCAAACCAGATGCAGGGCCTGATGACTCCGTTCCAGATGACGCGCTTGAGCTCAAGTGGGAGTTCAACGAGGACTCACGCCGTTACTATGTGTCTTTCCCTGACGATCAGTAGTGGTGCCCAGTTGGGGCGATCGGGACCGTGTCGCATGTTGGGTTTATCTTTTATTTTGGCGTCGTAGTCGGGCCATGAGTGTTTGATTGATGTAATGCTATTTATGTACTTTGATTGACATGGCGAGTGTAAGCCAACTATGTTCCTCCCCTTTTATTATCTATATTACATGGGATGTTGTGAAGATTGCCTAACTTGCGACATTGCTTTCAATGCGGTTATGCCTCTAAGTCGTGTCTCGACACGTGGGAGATATAGCCGCATCGAGGGCGTTACACGTAGGCAGAGGAACTTGTTGACTGAGCACGCGCGATGTCAAAGCTCAGCCTAGAGCCCTAGATGTGCACCATTTGCGGTGAGCATGGTGCGGGTTTCAACGCGCTTCGATGCCGACGACCTGCAATGCTGCATCGCCTCGTCATCTGGCTCCAGTATGAGCGCCGCGAGGACGAGTTTGACCGCCGCCGCTGCTCGATACCTATAGCCGGACAACCTCGCTCCTCGAATGTGCCCGCTCCGTGGTCTTCCCCATGAAATCCTCCGGCGATGAATCGTACACCGGTGATGGCGTCACCAATGGCGGCTCCAGGAATTTGCAACCAGGTATTCATGTGTATTCATTTTGTCAAAATCATTGTTGTTTTTCGAAAGTTGTCACAGTTTTACCAAAATCAACACTATTTTGTAAAAATCATAGGTATTCACATGAAGACCCAAGAATACCCTTAGCGCCCCCCTAGTCGTCACTGGTCAACATGGCCATGGACGGCAACATTCACTCGCTCGTGGTCATGTTCCTCCAAGAGGGCACCATCGCCAGCAGCTCCATATCTTGCACGCCAAGTGCTTGATAGAATGCCCACATTAGAGATAAATCAAAGGGGAGAAATAGATTGCCACATGGACTAGAACCAGTCAAAACCGTGCCGAGTCAGCACAAAACCAGCTTTGGTGTGATAGCAGTACGAAACTTGTCCGGTTTCAAGAGTTCAGGGTGTAAGTTGTCCGATTTCGAAGTTGAGGGATCAAATCTAGACTTCGTCAAAAGTTGAGGGACGAAAAATATACTTTTCTCTATATGTTTTCAACCACATTTTCTTGGATCTATTCCACGCTTTTCAGTGATGTCCCTTCAGTGGCAGACGGTGTTTTCGATGACTCGCGGAGTCGCTGCACATAAAGCATGCATGGATCACAAAAAGTTCATAACTGCCTCAATTTCCTCCTCTTTATTCATGACAGACGATATATAACACCACCCGGAATGGTTGCATTGCACTACTCTTGCATGAATCGATGTTATGACATGCATTCTCGTTACACTTCACTGCTGCAATATACGTGCAGCTTATTTAGGCTGACAATATGTGGACGTGTACGTATATTGTATCCACGTTACACTTCACTCCTGCACTATACGCAGCTTATTTAGGTTGACAGTGCACGTGTGTACGTACGGGCGCATGTATGGACGACGCAGCCAGACTAACGGAACTGGATGGGGTACGCCGGCGACTTGTCCGGGTTGAACAGCCCGAAGTGCTTCTCGGTGAGCTCCCCGGTCTTGAAGTTCTCGTTGAACATGGCGAAGATGTACGTCTCCAGCGCGCCGGGCCTCTTGGGCGTGCCCCCGCCGACGTGGTCGATCAGCCCCTGGTTGTACGCCCTCGCGTTGTCCGCCGTCGCCGCGAACCCGCTCGCCGACGGCCACCCGCTCTCCGAAACCACCACCCTCACCCCCGGCGCGCCGGCCCGCTCCAGCGCCGCCACCAGGGCGTCCACCATGGCGTCGAACAGGCACGTGTAGGTCAGCCCGTTGTTCTGGTCGCGCACCGTGGTGCCCGGCCGGAACGTCGCGTAGTTCAGCTGGATGTCCCGCGGGTTGTCCTTGTAGGCGAAGTAGGGGTACACGTTGGCCAGCAGCGGCGCGCCGGTGCTCGCCAGGAGCCGGGCCACGTCCGTCATGTAGGCCTGCGCGAACACGCCGTTGGAGGGCGGGAAGGTGTTGGTCACCGCGTCGAACCGGATCGAGGTGGACACCTTGATGGCGCCGAGGCCGGCGCCGGCGAGGGCCGCGTTGAGGTTCCGTATGGCCGGGACGATGTTCTGCGTGTCGCCGCCCAGGACCTCGTTGCCGGCGGCGATGTACTTGATGTTCACCGCCGGATAGTAGGGCCTGACGTTATCCCGGACCCAGTTCGCGGCGTTGGAGGCGTTGGCGGCGAGGCTGGCCAGCACGTCGGTGCCGCCGACGTCGAGGATGAGGCCGATGCCGGAGCCGCGGAGCGCGGAGAGGGCCTTGGCGTCGGCGAAGTAGATGCGCATGCCGGTGAGGCCCTTGGACCTGTAGAGCTGCACCACCTCGTTGGCCGGCGGGAGGTTGTTGGCGACCACGCCGTAGCAGACGCCGATCGTCATGGCTAGCTACGGGATCAAGGTTTCAGCTGGGTCTCTGCTGGCTAAAATTTCTGGTCGATGCTTTGCTCTCCCTGCTGCTGCGATAAGAAACGCCATTAGCTAGGATTACTTATAGTACATGGGAGAGATGAGAGATGCGTGCATGTGATATGCTTGCATCATTAGACGGTTCCTTATTCCACCATCTCATCTCATCTCATCGTCCATGATAGATTGATAGGGGCTCCCCATCTTCCTAGCTAATTAGGTGTCACCTCAGCCTGGTCATCCTAGCCTTAGTATTCCATGATCCGTAACGACAAGTCGATGACAGAGGCTGCTACCGTGCCGAATTTTCAATTATATAGTTTTATACAAAATTGGAAACTTGTTGGACTTTTCGTCGACAACTAGTTGGGTACGTACATATATCAATGTCCATTATTTAGTTTTTGAAAATCGTCGTGGACTAAGTCTGGCCGCCTATGTGGGTATAGTAAGCTCATGCTCATTCATGCACAATACTCCGTTGACAATGTTGCAATGGCGGATGAGATCGAATTTAAGTTGACAGTGATGAGCTAGCTGAATCTTACAAGACCCGATCGGCTGCTCACATGATTGGTCGTACGTGTCTTTTTCTTCTATATCTATATTACTATTAAAAAAGCAAACATTTTCTTTCTTAAAACCACCCGTCAAGTGTACCCAGTCTGATTACCACCCGCCAGATTACCCCATTTAGTTAGCTCTAATAGCTCGGATTAATCTAACCGCACTTACCTGCCGAGCAGACGAAATGTTCTGCCCCACGCACAATCAATCCATCCACCCACCCACCCACGAGGGAAAAGGAGAAAATAACTCCAGCCCTGCATCACCTTGATCCCCTCCGTAATTTTCTCTCATTTTGCTTTCTTCCTCTCTAATCGGCTCCCGTGATTGCACACTCAGCCTCGCCCGCCGCCTGCTGTCCTCGCCGCTCACAACGAGCACTTCTTACCAACGCAGCCGCCGCGGATGCCGATGAGCGCACGCCGCTGACGCTGGGGACATCGCAGTTCGGATGCCGCCGCCGACTCACCCCATCGTCGTGCGCCCCACCCGTCCGCTCGCGTATTCTCATCGAAGAAGATGACTAGATCCTCGGCCACGCCACCGTCCTCTCCCCGTCGTCGCGCGCCTCCGCCTATCGTTCCTCTGCAGCTTATCCAGTCCCGACCGCCGGAGAGTCTCGCTGCTGGGCACAAGTACCTTACAGTCGCGTTGTGCTTCTCCACTGGGGCAGCGTACGTACATCTTGGAAGTAAGTGGCCGCCAATCCAATTGATGTATTTCTCTGCACTTGATTTCAGTTGCTTTTTGACAGTGGTCTGAAGAAGCATCCTTTTTAGTGTACCTTATTATAGCATGACGATCATCTTTCTGATATGAGATCTAATGATGTCTGCAATGCTACACTTAATAAGCACGGAATCTGGTGGTCCTTGCAGGTAGATGGCTTAAATCCAAGCCTATTAGAATGGTTTCAACTTCCTGAATTTATGATGTGTTCTGTTAGACAAATAATTGTAATTTAGTTAGTTCATGTGCACTTGGCAAATCAACCAGTTATTTTGAGCCTCCCCCGCAATAAATAAAAATATATTTGGGCCTGAGGGCCAATAATCACATATGCTCTTCATATAGGAAATGGGTTGCTTCTATTCTGCTCCATCTCAAGCTTTAATTTTTGTAAGCACATGTCAGTCAGATGTTTTCTAGAGGTGCTTCGTCAATGTTTTTTTCAGTTAAAAAACAAGTTTGAGGATATTGTAAAGACTTGCATCTACTCCCTTCGTTCTGAATTGCTTGTCTTGGATTTGTCTAGATACGGATGTATCTAGACTCATTTTAGTGCTAGATACCTCCGTATCTAGACAAATCTAAGACAAGTAATTCGGAACGGAGGGAGTAGGAGATATAATAACCTAGATACCATTTAAATTTGCAAGGTTGAGAAGAGAATACAACTCGAAGAATGTCCATGTGTTTAATTGCTATTTGTTATCGCGCTTTCCAGTGTTAATTGCGGGATAGTGCATTTTACCCATGGCGTTCGGTTGCTCGACAAGATATCCTTGCGCCTTTTTCTTGTAACTATGGAACTAAGGCTGTAATGCATAATTACTTGGCATGTGTCAGCCATTCTGAATAATCTCTAATTTTGATCTGCTCAGTCACACTAGGATTTACAGAGAGTGTGCAATGGAGGTTCTTCCATTTACGAATTCATGATCCCAGCCTTCTCTTTCCTGATTGAAAAGAAAACATATTATGATTGCCTTTTCTGATAGTATCTTTTGAGTTAGCATGCAATCACACAGTTAAATGCTCCAAGATTAGGCCACCAAAACTGAACTTACGACTATATGTGTGTATGAAAAACCGTTAATATCTCTTGTTTGAGTAAACTCTGGAACTACTGGAGATTAGATTCTCTGGCTTTGGTGATTATACATTTTATAGGTTATCGTTTCTCGGGAAGAGATCTTGCCTGGGTGTTGCGGATCGAAGAAGACTTAGACGTGTGTGTGTTTCGATTAATCCATGTGTGTATATTCTAGGAGCTGCAGAAGGTTAGGTTCCGCTACCTCCATATAAGATTATAAGGTAAACAAAAATTGTAAAGTTTTTAAATGCAGTAAAATTAACATGTACTTCCAAACATGATGTGATATCTCAATTGAATTTTTGGAAAATCTACAGAAGTCTTTCAGTGATATATACTGACTGTAATTTTTGTGAATTTGTTCCAACATACTGATTAAAATGGCTAATTCTGTAGGTTCGTGTAGAACCCAGCGGAGTTTAGTGGCGCATATCAGGTAAATAATCCTAACACAGTCAGACGTACTATTGAGTGGTAGTGTATTCTCACTGAGTTCACATTCACATTTGAAAATTTAATGTCGTACCATATACAGTGGTGGTAAAGGCACACTTTCCCAAGCAATTGTAACAATATAGCATTGGAATTGGAGATTGTTAACATATCTATCACCCTCTTTTGATGATCTCTTTTCAATGCTAATACCGATCTTAAAAAGTTACAATGCTGGTTCGGTTGATGGTGGCATTGCTGTGAGTCTAAGAGCACCATGATTTCTTGCTTTTATTTGCTGACGATTGCCAAATCTTTTGTGAAATCTGATAGGTGGAGTGCGCATAGATTGAATTCCATCCGCTTACAGCCTTGCTCTGGCCAGAGTGGTACTAAAATGAAGAGTTCGGTGTTTTTCAGCCTCAACAGTACATATCAAATTCAATTGAGGTGAGGATTGAATTGCAAATAGAGTGGGAGGTTCTTTCATAGTAGATTGGTTATTTGAGCTAAATCTAAAATACAGGGGTGGTGTGAAAGTAAATTGTTCTCGTGCAGCAAAAAAGTCTGAAATTGGCAACCTGTCCTCGAAGTGCATCGCAAACTTGGTGTGCTATTGTGAATGGAAGAGATGTTTGCTAAAGTTTGGTTTGATTTGTAGGGTTGGAAATGGTCGAACTCAATATAGCAAACCAAATGGATTTCTAAAGCAAAATTCAATGCAACCGAGGGGGAGAATAGCAGCTACACGGGTACAGTTGGTTTCAAGTTTAATTGATGCTGATTTGGGGCAATGGAACAAGGATTTAATTAAGGAGGTGTTCATGCCGACAGATGTGTACACATTCTTCTGAATGCCAAGACCCCATAATTATGCGGATGGCTTCTGGTCTTGGGCATGGAAGATTAGGCATGGAACCATTCGGGATATTTCACAGTTCGCTCTGCATATACTGAGCCCTAATACAGAGAAAGGTAGAAGGTGAGATGCAGAAGAGGGTACTTTCAGGTGCAGAGAATAAGTGGAATGTACCGTTGAGTGGCCGGTGTTACAAAATATTTTACCAAGTTTCGTTGTTACAAAATATTTTACCAAGTTTCAGTGAACTGAAAATGAGACACATCAAGAACTTAGTATATGCCCTGTGTCTGCTCATGAATAGAATAATATGTACCTTGTTGTGGTTAGTTTCCATCATGCAAAGCTATTCTGTAATACAATCGTTGACATTTTATATCTTAAATTTTGCAGGCTATGTCCAATGACATGGTTGGCTGATGTACTGAGCATGCTATTGTTAGTAAGAAAGATGCTCCTATTTCGGTTTCCGTCCTGTGGGCAATATGGAGCAGTCGGAATAAGTACACATGAGGCAATTCAGTGCAAACAGTGCATTTCATGGAGCTTTCATAAGAGTGTGCGCGCTTTCTAATTCCCTGGCAAGAGTGTTGCCAGTGAAGAGCAAGCGAAGTGGTGTCCATCGAAAGCATGATGAAAATAAAACAGTGATGGTGCTCTTGATTTTCTGGTGCGGACTGATTGTGTGTGACCATGATGGAAGATTTCAAGCAGCCGCCTGCAAAAGGCATGATAACATAATAGGTCTATTTACCATTGGAGCTCCTGGCATGCGAAGATGCCATGTTGTTGACCCAAGAAAGAGACTATCATAGAGTGGTGATTGAGACCTATTGCCAGTCAGTTGTTCATCTTTGGCTGGATAGTTAGGAGGAGCTATCAATGGGTGCTCAGCTAATTCATGAATTGCAGGCCTACAAGTCTTTGTTCCGGTGTTTGGAGCTTCTTTTCACAAAGCGAGAGAGGAATAAAGCAGCCCATAGATGTACAAGTCTTCATTTCAGATCCATGGTTTTTGTGTCGACATTATAGGCACTTGTTTGGTCTATGGAATAAAAATATGGACTTAAACATAAAAAATAAGATAAATCATTGATTGAACAAAAGATATTACCTAAGTGATCCGGTGCACTTTGTGACCAATGTCCTCAATTGTGATGAAAGATTCTGTTTTTTGTTGCCTGAAACACCCCTAGCTAAATTTTATGTATCAAGACGGGCATTGCACGTGCAACTTTACTAGTGTGTACCTAGTCGTTGATCATTTTGCACATGCATCTGTGTGCATGCAGCAGCTTG